CTATCTTGGACGGAGACGGAGCGTAATGGCTCGTCAGGGTTGCCATCAGGACAGGCTATGGCACGGCCTTGATAGGTTCAGGGGCTGTGAGAGCCCTGGCAGTGTGGAAAACGTCCGTGCCGTGCTGACAGAAAAAATGTGCATTTCCTTTCATCCGTCAGCTCGGTGAGGTCGTGAGCAACCAGGAAACATTCGAAACGGGCGGTATATGACTCCCACGTTTCGGAGCCATAGTTGAATGGTGCGAAGTTTAACGTGGCCATTCCTGTCAGTGAGGCGACGTCTCGTCGCGGCAGGGTTAGAATGGAAGCGCGGTTCCAGTGACTCAGCAAGTGACTTCAGCTAGCTCGCACCTCAGTTTGGCGATCCCACCCTCATCGCCAGTGGTGTTTCCACAGGGACCGTGGGTAGCCAGAAGAACTGAGGCGGAGACGGGAATAAAAGGCTAACAAATTTTATTCCCTAACAAATACAGGCTAACTTCAGAACCGGCTCTTAGACAGGAATGCGCACTGCTCGTTTGGACAGCTCCCTTTTTATACAGGAGCTGTCAAACGACCAGCCAATCAGGTGTCGAGTGCTTCCCGCTTGAATTCTTTATTTCAGCGCTTGCTCAGAACGTGACACCCTGACCCAGATCTTTTCATTATATTTGCTATAATTCTCATTCTCCTATAATTTATCCTATTTTTTTCCCATAAGCTCATTTATTTTGTCACTGGTGTTTATGAATTGGGGGCAGAAATGATATTCTGCTGGTTCACCCTAGTTCAGGCGAACCGGTAGCGGCGACGGTGGGAGGCTCTAGTCACCCGCCCAGACGTCATCATGGACATTCTGCGGGTGCCCAGAAGGTTCCGAACTGGTAGCAAAGATAAGAGGATTTCATGCCTGGTTCAGGGGAAAGTGAGATAACAATGTCAGTATACAGTATTAAGTAAAAAAAAATCTGAGCTTAACCAATGGATATTGTTTTCCTTTGTTGTTCTTCATTCTTCAGGAATGATGGCATTTCACAATCCCAGTCCAATAGTGCAAATTGTTCAAGAATTTTAAAAAGTTGCAACTCATTTGTCAATCTAAATGGAACAGTTCCTCTCTTTGAAGTGGTTCAGAGCTTCTAGTTCTGAGTGTCCTGTGCTGAAATTCTTTTTTGAACTTGGTAGCCATTCTCTATGTGGTTATTGTATTTTGCATCTTCATTTCAATGCACTACTTCTCTCCTAGGTTTTTCAATGATAAAACTAAATAGATGCTATCTCATTTAAAAAAAGCACTAACATGAGGCAAGTAAGTCAAGTATGGCAGGAACTCTACTGTATTTCAATTACTGTAACTATTGCATTAGATATCACAACTTTTTCAGTTGGGTTACTTTCAATGATTCTAACCAAGAGCCTAGGACTCATGGAACAACAGCAGCAACAATTTGAAATAATATATATGGTGCACATTTAGAAGTAATAACTTAACTGTACTGTACCTACATCTAACTAAAACTGAGAAAGAGGGAAATTGTGGTTACTGCTGTGCAAATGCTATTGAGATGTAATACACAGATTTCTTATGTTCTTTTGAAATGTTCTTTAACCAAGTGTGATTAGGTAGCAAGTCTTTCAAATAAAGAGTGCATCCTCAATAAAATAAAATGCATGCCTCATCTAGTCATATGCAACCAGGAAACTAACAGGTAGCAGAGCAAGACATCATAGAGTTGTGAGAGCAGAAGAAGACCTAGACTAGAGAGAAGACATCAAATTCCTGGTTTTATAGGGACGGGACATGGCAACAATAATCACTATTGCTCCCCGTTCTCCTTGCTCATGACTCTTTCTTCTGCACAGGGAATGTGTGGAATGCAAGAAGTTTGAGAGAGGGATCCTGATAGAACAAGACACCTGCAACCACAATTGCCGTGATGAGATTGAGTTGGTGCAGGAACTTGGTATGTAAAAACTATGGCAGGGTTTTTTTTTTGTGGAAAAACTATTGTTTTCTTCTAAATTCCTTTCCTCTTCCTCCCACTCTCCTCCTCCCACCCTCCTCCTCCCACCCTCCTCCTCCTCCTCCTCCCTTTTCTGACTTTCCAGATGATTCAGTTGCTAAGTTAAAGGAAGGCACTTGTATCATGGAGAGCATTTAGATCTCCAATGACAAAGCCAAGGTTAAGCTGTGAATATTGCCTGCTTGAGATATAGAAAGTCCTTGACTTACAATCATTTGTTTAGCGACTGTGCAAAGTTACAATGAGGCCGAAAAAAGTGAGTTACGACCTGCCTTTGGACTTACAACTGACACAGCGTCCCCATGGCCACATGATCATAATTCAGGTGCTTGGCAAGTGGCATGTATTTATGGAGTCACGATATCCCAAGATCCCATGATTGCTATTTTTTATTTTCCCAGCTAGCTTCCTACAAGCAAAGTCAATGCGGGGAGAGGAGCCAGACTTTCTTAACAACCAAATTATTAGTTTAACCACCATGGCAAAAAAGGTTTGTAAAATCAGGCATGGTCACAGGAGGACTCACTTAAAAATCACATTGCTTAATAATGGAAGTTTTGCCTCAGTTGTGATTGTATGCTGAGGACTTCCTGTGGTGTTGAACAGAGTTTCAGCACCATTTACCCAAACAAGAAACCAAACCTATTCAGGGCTTTATGAAGATTATATCTATATCTATCTCTATATCTACACACACAAACACACACACACACACACGCACGGAATTAGACATCTCTCTCTCTCTCTCTCTCTCTCTCTCTCTCTCTCTCTCTCTC